TTTTTTTTTTTTTTTTTTTTTTTTTTTTTTTTTTCTGTGAGAAGACTTTGTGAGAGGCATTTGAAGCCTTGGCTTAAATGACAGTCATTAAAATCAACTCTGAATCTCCTTTCCATTAAATGCTTGCAATAAACCTTCTCAGCTTGTCCCAGCTATAATCTTAGCTTGCAAATACAGGCACCAAGATGAGAGAATGGCAAGGTAGTGATGACACTGCACTGCTTTCCCGCTGAATTCCTCACAGAAGAACTTGCATAAAGGCACACTTAGCTTGGTGTGGGTTTAGGACAGGACCGAGGGCCAGGGCGTGATGCCACCAGGCAGATGGTTGAGATGTGAGGCCTGCTCTCACAGCCCACAGTTATTCTGGTCTCTACATGACAAAAATTAACATAACTGATGGAAGACAACATTCCTGAGTTTTTCAGGCAGATGTATGAAGCTCAATGATAAACAGGAGTCTGTTCTCATTCAGGATCTAGACAAGGTGCAGTATCCCATAGGTGCAATTTGGTCCCCTTTGTGTAGTCACTGTCTTATCCTGGCCATTTATTACAGGAATCTTTCATTAGTTGCTCACTGATTTTACTCTCAAGAGCTCAAGTAATTATGTACAAGAAATACTGCTGGTCAGCTACTCCTAAGAGAAGTAATAGAGTAGGTTTCTTCATAGAATTATACCTAATGTAAGCTATAAAAATCGTACTTAACACAGTGACCTGCATACATCCAGATAGCTAAACATTAATAATAAGATTAAGTGTAATAATAATAATAAGTATATTCGGTTGTCAGGTAGGGGTTCATAGGAAGAAATAAATATGTAAGGATATTTCGTCAATGTTCAAGAAGTGAAACAAATGGCTCAGAGCTAAACCTCCTGAACTGTTAGGAGTGTGTGGTAAGGGACATGCTGAGACTATACCTGAGAAAAGCATTTCTGTAGTAGGTGTTTTGCTCGAGCAGGCATGTAAATACTGTGAATATTGAAAACTCTGGTGCATGGGCTTCATAGAAAATTCTTCTCATCTTAACATTAGCCAACTGCCTGTTTAGTTCTCTGAATGCATGGACTTCTCATTAAAGCTAAAAAGAGCATTTTTTCAAATATTCTTACTAGAAGATGAGTCTTGTCATCAGTACAAACGTGCTGAATTATAACTTGATAGCAGTCAAATCTAAATTGCTGTTTATATGGCAGAGGAAAAAAAATAGAAAACTGTGGAAATTTCGTCTAATATATTAAATGAGCTCTTCTATTAAATATATCTGCAACTCCCAACCATG